TCTATATATATATATATATATATATATATACATATATGTTCCTATATAAACAATTTTTTACCGAGTTATTGCATCGATTAATTTATTCGTATTTTGCTAACATTATCGAGGATTAATAGCACTCTCGAAGTCACTTGTTTAACATGATCAGCGTAAAACACACGTCGAGAATGTATGTTCTCACTCACGGTGATGTTATCGATGCGTGCTTCGTGCTGTTATGTCGCTATTTTCGCTAGCTGGTGACTATCACCAGAGGGATGGGAACGTAGATATGCATTTTTATCGCAAGCGTTTAAAGCCGTTTCAGTCATGGCTGGCAACCCGTAAATGATAACATGAGCGTTTAACAATTATCAGACATTTTAACGAAATCAAACACACTCGACAGACTATTAAGCAGCAAACATCGCAATAGTCCGTCAAAACATGTTTTATGTCGTTGTTTTGTCAATAAACAATGGTACACAGATCGCTGGATAGACATCCCAGCTTTAATCAATTCGTTTTGGAACATTATAAATCAATTAAACGGTGTATCAGTATTGCGCGGAGGAAAATTATTGCAATATAAAAATCCTTCATAAAGATTCATGTTTCCTGCAATTAATCCTTCATAAACAATTCTATCATCCCATATACCTGTTCATCATTCTATAATTATCAATGACATCAATCTCTTTACGAGTAATACATAATTGTGAAATTAATAAATAACGCTAACGCAAATACCGGTCCGATCGCAAATTCTGTTGTAAAACTATTACTACGGTCAGAAGGAAAATCGACGGCTATTACGCCATTTGTTTTCTATTCGTAACACGCGAGACAAAGCAGTTACCACACCCTGACTGCGTGCGCGGTTTGCGCTTAAAACAATTGTATCACATGTCACGTAAGGCGTAGTATTAGTACGCGTGCCTCATGATCAGACCTCGCCAACTTACAGAATGTAACATCTTTTAAATTAGCATCTGTGTTTTTTTTTTTTTTATATAAAATCAATCTTACAATATTCATTGTTTTAAGAGAAAATTGATACAATATGTATAATAAGATATGTAGTACAATTTCGAATACGATACAATTCTGAACAAAATGAAATTGGAATTCAATTTTCGAGATTTAAGTTCAGTAATCTTCTCATTGTGTAAAGAGTACAGAAAGATATCAAACAGAAAAAAATCAAATTATAACTTCGAAAATCGAATTTTGATTAAATCTTATTTAATCAATTAATTAAATCTTATTTTATTCAGAATTACGTCATGTGAAATTGCATCTCTTACCTTATACGTGTGTAATTACTTATTTCTTTAGAAAAAATAATAAAAAATTAAAAATATTATAGTAAATAAAAAATATGATAAATAAATCTAACGAATAAAGAAGAAAATATTTTTTTTATGGTGAATGTTTAGCTTCAGATAAAATTCATAAAATATATATCTATGAATGTTTGTACCATAAAATTGCTATTTCTTAAAAAAAAATTTCTTAAAAAATTTTAACATCGTAAATAAATCTAATGACACAAGAAGAAGATATTTTTTTCTATCATTATGGCGGTACAAACAATTAGTTAAAGCTCTGGCGGAGGTAGTTATCTCTTCAAATTTGTTCAAGCAATAAATCATATTTAATACGGCACTCTCGGTCCACCTCTTAATGCGTAATACGAATAAATGTGACTTCTTCCTCTGGACTTTGGAACCGGTGGTCGATGTCTCTAACTGAGGAAGTAGCGTGACTGCATACGTTGTAAAATTTGCCATTAAAAGGCGAGAAGTTTACAGTGAGGTTGAAAGATATTCACGAGAGTTAAAAGTAGTCTCATGATCCGGTTGGAAAGAATCCTCATGTGTCCCTTCACTTACTGATCATGAATATTTATACTGCACGTTTCGACTTTCGACAATCTCTTAGGACAACGAGCTGAAAGATTTGGCGATGGATTGTATTCATAAAATCGCGGACAAGACTTCGTAAAAGTCTTCGAAAAAACAGCAAAGAGCAATCAATGAGCAAAATATCATTTGAATTTGCCAAGGACAAATTTTTGCATTTATATTTGTGTAAACATACATGTTGATCTCTTTGTATACAAATTATTTTTGTGCTTTCAAATTTAAAATTATTTTTGCGACAATTTTTTCTTACATATATATACATAATATTAAAAGGATTACTTTGAAAAAATTAAATGTTAAACAAGTTCTTTTATTTCCTAGTTTTAATTGGTACTTTATAAATTTATACTAATTGAATTATTTATATTGATTATTGTTTTATGTATAACGTAATCGTTTGCGCCTACTTGCGCTGAGAAAGTCGAACAACACGATCGTTCAGCGGGTTGCATATACATAAGGCGCATTACCTTCAGAAAATACGTGCGATATTGTAAGATCGCATATATACATATATGCGCACATATACATATATATATATATATATATACATGTATTTATTTTTTGTATTTAATTATATTTTGTGTACACTTTTCTGCAGGCATCTTTTTTACTATAATTCAATAAAACCACACTTATAGTATTCACTAATTATATTTAACAAAATGAGATTCGCGATATAATGTTCAAACATATTTTACTACTGTTATTCCTTACCTGTACGGCACTATTGAGGAAACAATTGTTCTGCCCGGGTCCATTGAGCAAGCCCTTCGTGCTGGTAAAACTGCTGTTGTGCTCCCGATGCGGTGATTTTTGACAACCTTGCACCTGTCCTTCCGTCTGATGGCATTGTGTAGATTGAAGGTAACTAGCAAAATCCACTGTGTCGTGGGATGCAGCTTGCTGCTGCAATCCCATTGTAGACGTCATGTTCAATAAATCAAAGTAGAATCATCTGTAAACATTTGCAATAAACACATTTATTTATAACAATATCTCATCTCTTGTAAAACTTTTAGATACAATACTTTTAGATACAATCGTCAATACAATTTTAAATAATACATTTGTTTTAGTAAAGTATAAATAAATATATAATAATTTTTTTGTTAGTAATGAAATGTTTCGATAGAAAAGATACTTTCAATGTTCAACAAAATATTATTGAGTTGCGGATACACGAAAGGAAGTCTTCATCATGCCTTAAACTATGGCAATGAACTCAAGTCATAGCATTCGCGGAAATTCATAAAACCAAATTAATGAGAAAATTACGAAGTATAATTACACGAAAAAATCAGAAAAATCAGTTTATACATATATGGAAATGTAATACAAGATTTTATGACTTGTACCTCCAGAGAAATCGATTACGCACGTATCTTCGTTGATTCAGTTTCAATTCTTCTAATTAAAAACTCAAATAACCTTCTTGCATTTTTATAAAAAAAGAGACTCTAGAAATCACAAGTGGAGGAGAGAAACATCGCCTCGAGTGTCCTTAAAAAGACAAAATTATAAAGAGTCATATATGAAGAATAAAAAAAGTCAAAAGAAGAGAAAACCGCTACGCTAAATGCTACTACGAGCGAGTGGACGACTGTTAATTTTGAGGAGCCGAGAAAAGTGGTCGGAGCGAATACGTGCTTGAGAGCAGGCCTGGCGCCAGTCTCGCCGGCTTGGTTTACTGGCTTCAGATACAATACTCTGGTCACATTCTTCTACAGACATTGAGGTCCCACCATACTCGGTGTTGCATTTATTACGAAGTCGACGAAGAAAACCAGACGTGGCTGGCTACGTCTATGTTTTTAAATTCAAAAGCGAATTAAATTTAAAATCGAAATCGTCAGCGTAATTTTTTTAGCTTATAAACTAAGTTTATAATTGAAATTTTTTCGAAAACCATCATTTAAGTTATGTATTTTCAGTGATCAAGATAACTCAATGTCTAAATAAATTGTTTAATTAATGCTGTAAATAAAAATTTGATTTTATATATAGCATATAAATCTATAAACATAAAAAACTAAAAATTTGCAATACTTGTTTTAGTTCATTCTAATTCAGGTGTATAAAAAATTTTAGATAATATGCCAATAGGACGAAATATGATCATGGAATATCTATAAGCATCAACTTAAAGGACGTAGTGCGTATGTGAATTGTCGTATTGTAGAATAGAAGCTATCAAGAGCTAGGAAATAGAGCACAATGATGATTGACAGTTGCATTGATCTGTCACTCTCCGTTGGCAAACACAAATGAAGCATAAACGCTTTCGCGACTTTCCTGTCTCATTCTAAAATTGCGGGCGAATGACATTTATACATATATATATATATAT